ATAGATAGATAGATAGATACACATTTATTTAGCAAATGCTATACATACAAACGATTACATAAACTCAAGCAACAAAAATCCTTAAAATAGAAATATATAAAAGTTTACCCTGGTAGTGACCTAATGTAACTAACAATTAGCTTATTGAAATGATTAACCGGCCCATTACAATTTTTTATATATTCTGGTAGCTTATTGTATTGCATAAGACCCTGGTAAAATAAAGATTTACTAGTTCTTAATAAATTGTGTCTTTCTATATAAAAGTCATCCTTTTGGCGAGTGTTATAAACATGTCCATCTCTTACATAAGTTATTCTACTGTGCAAATAGCTAGGTAAGAGCAAATTTTTTATTTTATATATAAATTGTAACGTTCTTAACAAAATTCGTTGTTTTATGTTTATAAAATTTAATGCATTTAACATGTCCTGTATTGGAGTATATCTACTACACTGCAAAATAATCCTCATAGCTTTATTCTGCATTTTCTGTAGAGTCTGAATCTCATTGTTATTTAAAAATAATAAAATTGTTGAACAATATTCAAAATGTGGCGCAATTATCGTTTTATAAATGGTCAGTCTGGCAAAAAATGATAAATCCTTAGATATACGCCTTAAGAAATTAATTTTTTTGGCAACTTTTTTAACAATATATGCGGTATGTTGTTTAAAACACATACATTCATCCAACATCACACCCAGATATTTTATCTGATGGACTCTTTCTAGTTTCTCGTTATTTAATTTAATATAATCCTCTATCGAAATTTTATTCAATGTATGTTTTTTGCCTAATACTAACCACTTACATTTATCAATATTTACTTTCAAATTATTGTCACAAAGCCATGCATATAAATTATTTAGTTCCCCGTTAATATTTCTTATAATATCATTAACATTTTTACCAAACATATAAAGCATTGTGTCATCTGCAAACAGATGTATTTTGCAATCAGTTAAACAACAGAGAATGTCATTGATAAAAATAATAAATAATATAGGACCCAATACTGAGCCTTGAGGTACGCCATATTTAGTTTCCTTTCTTCCAGATACTCTCTCACCATATTTTGTTTTTTGTCCTCTTTTTGTTATGTAAGATGAAAACCACTGCAAAACATTTCCTCTAATTCCAATACTTCGTAACTTCGAGAGAAGAAGACCTCGATCAATGGTTTCGAATGCACGTTTAAAGTCTAGAAATACAGCCACTACTATATTATCATTATCAATTCCCCATACCCAGTCGTCCAAAATACACTGTAATGCAGTTTCACATGAATGTGCTCCTCGGAATCCTGATTGTACTGATATGATGATATTATTGTTTTGTATGTAATTTATTAATTGTTCTTTAACTACCAATTCCAATACTTTTTCACAAACTGGCAATGAATTGATTGGTCGATATTGGTCACATAAAATAGTATTAATAACTTTTGGTATAGGTGTAACAAATGAATTAGTCCATGCATCTGGAAAAACGCCCGACTGAAGAGAACAATTAACCACATCCAAAAACCTGTTGCCGATGATTTCAAATGTGTCTTTAATAATATTTGTGGGAATCCCATCACATCCTGATTTATTTGGTAATGCATCAATAACTTTTCTCAATGCATTCATTTCTATGACTTTAAATTCGCGTAATCTACAATCAACTCCAAAATCATGACTTGTGTACAAATCAAATTTTGGTATATCATGAATAATCTCTACCACACTCTCTATAAAATAGTCATTAAATTTTTCTGCAATCTCCAATTCATCCGATACTTCTTGTTCATTAAATTTAATACATTTAGAAACATGCTGTTTCCCTTTATTCATTTGTTTCAATGTTTTCCACATCAACTTCGAATCACCTTTACAATGGTCTATTTTGTTTTCATAATACTGTTTTTTCTCTTTTCTTATCATTGTAACTACCTTATTCCGTTTTTCTGTGAATGAATTCCATTCCTCTTCTCTTCCTGTAATTCTAGCTGCTTCATATTGTCTATCTCGTTCTTTCATAGCCACTAAAATTTCTTCTGTAATCCACATTTTATTTGCATATTTGATTGGAACTACAATTTCCTTTATGGGACAAACATTATTAAGACTATTTTTAATACAGTTAATTAAATTTTCTGTCAACACATTAATGTTTGCACTGTCATTGTTCCTCTCAGTATTAATTAAAATTTCTTGTAGGGCATCCTTGTTATAGTTTTTAAAACTTCTGTAACATTTCCTTATACGATATATATTATTATTACTCTTTACTGGAAAATTTATGGTTATGTAAGCATGATTCGTTATCTTTGGTGTATGATGCACTTTATGTGTTATAGTATCACAATTAGTTATTAGCAGATCAATCAAAGTTGCAGTGTTCTGTGTAATTCTAATTGGTTCCCCTACTAACTGTATAAATCCATTTTCCATAATAATTCTCGATAACTGTGTTGAATAACATGTGTCCCTCAACATATCTATGTTAAAGTCTCCTGTTATAATACTGTCTATATTACTAGAGCTGTATTCTTCTATCAGATTCTCCAAATTGTTCAAAAAATCCGCCCTACTTGCACTTGGCGAATGATATATCCCTATTGTGTGATTGTTGTTGTAGAATAATTATTGAAACGAATATCGTATTGTGTCACCAGATATTTTATTTTAGAAATCGACCTTCCTGTATTACAGTCAAGTTAACACTGGCGTTCCGAGCTCGCACTCTCATACATCACATGTTACATGCGTCACATAGAGGGGCTGTACAAGCAAACAAAAAACATGAACCGAACACCTATTATATTATAATTGTCCGTATTTATTTGCACTTGCACTCCCACACACCAAAGATTGTTTTCGACTGTAAAATTTTTTATATTGTAGAAGGATATTTCATTTTTAATATATATTATAACTCCTCCTGTGTGTGTGCTATTGGAGTAACAAATTTCTAGTTTATAACCATCTATTTCAATTTCAGATATCTGTATATCATTTGTAACGTGAGTCTCTGTTAAACAAACTACATTTGGTTGTAAAGTATGTATAAGTAGTTCTATTTCCTCTTTATTATGTAGAAAGCCTTGTGTGTTCAAGGTTAAACATTGATGTTTACGATGATGTATTCTATCTTTGAAATTTGCTAATTGCTATTGATCATCCAAATAATCAATTTTCCTTTTGATGCTGTTTAATATTCTTATATAGCAAGGACATTTTGGATCTAATGCATTATGATTATCTTTTATCTTTATTTTATACTTTTCAATTGCATTGCTACAGTTTATGCACTTATTATATCTGTCTCTACATTCTCCTGTATGTTCCAATGAACATTTATAACATATATTGTTATTTTTACAGTCCTTGGCCATATGGTTGAAGCCTAAACACTTAAAACATCTAACAACATGAACATAATCATAAGCTTTGCCTCTCGACCATCCTATAAAAATTTTGCCCTTGTTTAACAGTATATTATGTGTCTTTGAGTCAGCTTCTAGTATTAATGTAATTTCTCTATTTGCTTTTTTTATCCTTTTTATTATTTTCAAATGAAATCCTTCTGATCCATGTTCTGTTAAATTTTGATCTTTTATTGCATTCAAGAGATTGTCATCTGTGTCATCGTCTTCCTCATTTACTCCAATAATTTTAATTCTTGGATATTTCAAATTTGGTTTTCTAATATCATAATCCCCTGACATTTCCTCACATATTTTATTCTGAATTTTCTCTCGAGCTTCTTCATTCCCACATCTTATTACCACTTGACCCCGATGCGCTTCCCTCAATCCAGCAACTCCAGCACCTAATCTGCTTGGATCAATCTTCTCCTTAATATCTTTTTTTGTTTTATCACTACTTTGTACTTCCTTTGGTTTGACAATTAAAACTGGGTCTTTACTATTAGAAGTATTTTTTCCATTTACTTTATTGCCTGCTACTGTCTGGGAGTATAATGGTTTGTGTTTACATTGCTTTTTATTTCTATCACTGCTGATTCTATAACATTACTCTGTTTTGTACTTTTTTCTTCTAATTTCTCAAATTTTTTTGTCAGCATCAGTAGTTCTTCAGTGAGAATTTCTATCCTACTTGTTTGCTTCTTCACCACTGTATTGAGCTTCTTGATTTCCTCTATTATTTCTTTTTTTTGGTTCATCTTCCAAGCAATTTTTACAATAGAACTTCAAAATTCTTCCTTTTATTAACTTTATGCATTTAATTTCTGATGCAGTTTTTGTAGGAACAGGGTTCCAGACATGAACTGATCCCTTCATCGCACCCCATTACGATTCTTTTTTTTATAAGGAGAATGAAGTTTCAAAGCAAAAACCTTGTATAACAGATATACTATAAATATTTACAGAATGAAAACAAAATATAAATCCTATGATATGATTCTATCAAATGAAAACACTAACAACAATTCTCTATCAATCTAAAAAAATTAGTTATTTTTCTATCAAACTAGAAATATTAACAAATTATAGGTAAACAATATAAATTCTGTGATTATATATGATATACTGTATGCCGAACTGCATTTTTCTCATCTTCATTTAATATTAATTTCTTCTTTCCACCCCCTTTTTTAGGTTTCTGAACATCTCACAAATTTTAATCAATTCTCTTTATGAGCCTTTTGTTATGTTTGAGATTAAAAAATTTATACTCAGTATTAATTTGAAAAAGTGCAAAAAATGACTTCTGTTTTGGAAAATCAACGACTACTTTGCGAATATTGCAAATAGTACCAATTTTTGTAGCTTTTTTTTAGCTCAATACATGCCCATGAGGCCTATAAATTTTTTAATTGATCGGTCGAGCCGTTTTCCTTACCTGAATCGTCAAATCATTATTAAAATGAAAAAAATTTCTTGCGTTATTTTTCTCCGTGTTTCATCGGCCTTGACATCGTCTGTGGTGGTAGGGCGAGCTCGCTGCTGCGATACCCCTCTAGCCTCTTTACTGATTGTACCATGTTTCTACTACCGCTTGGCACTCCCTTAAAGCGTGTTCCTGATTGGGTACTTTACTTACTTCCTTAATGAAGGGTGCAACAGACAAAAAAACGGCAGGACTTTTCCTCTCAGAATTCCACCCTCTTTCTAACCCTATTTGGGAGGACCCAGTATAGAAGTACAATTTTCATATTTAGAACTCAAAATTAAGTTTCCAAAAATATCCAGTATACAGGTCGTTTCGTCTTTCCGGAACATTGAAGATGAATTTTTCGAGACAAAACACCCGAATCTGGTTCGGGCAGAAGCATTACAGTATTGGGGGTCATGAAGGCTGGCAAGAAATGTAATAAAATTTCCAAGGTCATATTTAAAAAAAGAAATTGATGGTTGTGCAGAGACGAAATATTGCATATAAAAATTGATTATGCCATTCGATACAGGGCAAAAATTGTCATGAGGAAGTGTTCTTCTTTTTTCAATATCACCTCAAACAAGGCCCAAATGAAACAAAAATGGATTTCCAAAATTTAGTTTTTTTTTCAAATATTTCGAAAACTAATCATGTTTTAGAGGCATAATATTGGTCCTCTGATTACTCCCATTTAAGCTAGTTCGTATGTCTTACCGTTTCCGAGATCCCTATAGTGAGAAGCGGATTTGCCTGTATAAGTCTGACAAATATAATTCTGATTGAAAAAAATCTAATCTGTAAATCAGAAAAATATGACAGAGCTTTAACTGAGAAAAATTTGATTTATTAGTCAAATGTTTCAACTAACTTAACTTAATTCCTGACGAGATTCAGAAGTTCTGGACTTGTAAGTTGAATTTTCTCATTTAAAACTCAAAATTATATTTTTCCGACACAAGTCAGATTTATATTATTTAGAGCTATTAATAATTGTTGTATTTTTCCTATTTTTTACTTTATTTCAGCTGTAAATTGTAGTAAAGTATTGAATATTTTCTTTTTATCCTTTACAGTTGACGTTAGGATTTTCAGTTTCACCATCATACTCTCAGTGGACTACCTCATGAAACTTGCTGAATTCTTCAGCACTGCCGGTACTAAAAAGCCCGCTATAACCACTGAAAATAAACAGTCCCAAACCAAACTCGAAGAATCGAAACAATCACTACCTGAAAAGCAGCCAGAAAAAGAATCCCAGATGACTATAAATTTGAAGTTGGAGAAGCCGGATATCATTCTTGTGGAACACATGGACAACATAGATACAAACGCAATGATTTTAAATGTAGGTAGTTTGGGTTTGTTCGTCCCAAAATAATAACTGTTTTTTGATAGAGTGAAATTTTGGTAAAATTGCGTTTTGCTGGCCCCCATCAAGTGATAAACGGAATTATCAAAGATTTTCAACTCTACACATGCAATTATAATCCAGCACATCGTGAAGAAACCAGGGGCAATGTTCTCTATCCCGTGAACATCAGCATTGCCGGTTCAACTCCTCAGGACAAAGGTTTACACCTTGAGGTGAGAAGGAGCATTAAATTTTTTAATACAACAATGAGGATGTCCTGCTTGTTTAAAAATTATACTGTTTCCAAATTTCTCATTCTTTGAGCTTGTCCAACTTTAGTATATTGGTTTCAAAGCTCCATAATCTCATAAATATTGAACCAATCTTACAAACATTTTCTTATTTGGTACTTGACGGTCGGGATAATCCATCTGTTATCGTCTTATGTTTTCTCCAGACAAAAAATAGGCTCTAAATATATCAACTCTTTCTTAATTCGCATACATATGAAGATTGCTTTGGGTGTGCAGCAAAATGAAACTCACTTTCAACGGTAAATAAAAGGTATTTTTTATTGAAAACAAAAGTGGCAGTGAAAAGAAATGTTGTCCGGGCGAGCGTTTGTTGGAGAGTGCTTGGTGGAGTCACTCGCAGGTATCAGTATTTAGTCCTTGACGCCAATCTGCCGTGGCCCTTTTCCTGGAACCAAAGTGTGTGTGTGTCCCGTGTTGCAGATTTTCGTCTGTTTCTTGTCACATGTGTACCCACACAGGGAAACGAACCCTTCTACTAGACCTAGCAGTAATTTCCTTGGTTGTGATTGGCACAGATTTTAATAGTCCAGAAATTGATGGATTTGGAAGGCTATTGTCCTCGACCCTAGTCCTGTCATGTCATTCAGAAAATATGCGGGTATGGACACTTTAACTTCACGTTAGCAAAATGTTTGCTTTTGTTCATAAAAAGTCATTTTTCTTGAAAAAGGTTCACTTTAGAGCAATGAACCAAGAGAACTCTTATTGTGTAAAATTCATTGGCGCTTTAGAATTTGCTGTCAAAAGTCAATTTTTCCAGTGGCGTAAAATTTAGGGGGGGAAAACCCTTACGATACCTTAAAATCTCCACCACTGGCACGTCCAATGAATTCGAGAAGGGTATGAAAAAGTAGATATTAATAGTGGTAATGTGTGTACAAAAGCTCAGTCCTGTAGTTCAAACGATTCCTAAGATATTGGCGAAAAACTAAAAAAAAATTAAAGTTTTGACACCGTGTATGTCGAAAACGAAAGCCCGGAGAGAAAAATGGAAGAGGAATTTACAGTTTTCCGTTGGGACACTTATTTAGGAACACCCTGTATACTGTACCGTTACTGAACATTGAAATAAATCACTTTATAAGGTTATACACTTACACCACACAAGGGCACTTTACGAGCATCGTCTCCTAAGCCTTTCAAAGGCGTTATGGCATTTCAGCAGCACAGCTCTGACTAACCTCCATTCCTTTGGAAAGCGTTTGGAATGTGATGGGATTTTGCTTAAATATAAACAGTGACAGTACTATAGTTCAGCTAAACTAGGTCAATGTAAGAGGTCATTGACACTGAGATTCACAAATTAAAAAAGCACTGCTTAAGGAGGTATAGTTGAGTATATAGGTTAGGTAAAATAGGTTAAAAGGTTTTAATTTTTTATATTGTTCGGTATACTGTGGGTAATGTAAAACCAAGTTTGCGACCTCGTACGATCTGGTGAGACTTTTTAGTGAGCAAAAAAACAGGAAATTTCCGGACTTTTTTCAGTTTTTCGCTTATAACTTTCAAACTATGGTTTCTAGCGAAAACCTCACTATTACAATAATTACAGAGTATAAAATTCTGCGTCGAATGAGTACCTCAAAGTTTGATTTTGATCCAGTAACATGGTCAAAATCGACGTTGGAAAATTGAAATTTAATACCATTTTGTTAGGTAGGTATATGTTTGTAACGAGCGTTCAAATAAAAACATGGTCGAAGTTGGCTCTGACACATTGGACGTAGGGAGTAGCTTATAGCGACCAACTTAATCTCATTTTTCAACGAGCTGTATAGCACCTGTCAGTTTCAATAACGTTAATGACTATATAACTTTATTTTAAAGAATAATCGTGATAACAATAACAAACAATTAAAGGAGCTGCGGAAAGTGTCCCCCTCCTTGTTATAACAATAAATTAAAGCAGCTGCTGAAAGTGTCCCCCTCCTTGTTCCAAGCACTTTTCACACCTGTTCCTCAAAGAATTAAAGACATTTTCTAAGATGCTCGGGGTATTGTTAATTTCACGAATCTTGTCTATAAGTCGAGCCTGCAGATGGTTTAAATCAGGAATAGGCAGTTCAAAAATAGTGTTTTTAAGGTAAGGCCACAAAAAGAAATCACACGGCGTAATATCACATGACCTCGGTGGAAATTCATGTTCAGCATTGAGACTTATTAGTCGATTTTGGAAAACTTCCCTCAACATATTCATCGTCTCGCCTGCCGTATGTGCCCTTGCGCCATCTTGTTGAAAGTAAAAGTTTGTAATTTCGTTTTCTTCCAGCTGGTTAACAAAAGGAGCGATAATTTCTTCTCTATACCTTTGCGCAGTAAGAG